GGGCGGGCAGAGGACAGCCAAGGGTGGGGGGTACAGGGGTGGGGAAGGATCTGAGGCTGACAATGCAGATGTGGGACCCCGGAGAGGGCTTTTCTGAAGGGCCCCCATTATCTGAGGAGATGAACATAAACTAATTTTTAAAAGTAATATAGCTCCTTAATGTATTTGAGGAACACGGGTGTGTGTGTCCATTGACCTCATTAGAGGCCACTTCCATCCCATAAATTCTTACAGTTCCTAGAGTGTTGTGTATGCTCAAGTATACCTGCTGGTAGAAATACAGGTTGCCAAAAAAAAAAAAAAAAAAAAAAAAAAAGTCTAAGTTCCATCTCTATGGACACTGGAGCTGGAGCTGGAGCCAGAAGCCAGAAAGCTGGAGACATCTCCTTCCACAGCATTTGCAGTGTAGACCGGCAGAGCAGCAAGCATATCACTGGGTTCGTACTTCTCTGAATTCCTCCCTTCCTTTGCTTCCTTGCAGAAAGTCCAGGTGGTTGTCACTGTGCTAGACTATGACAAGCTGGGCAAGAACGAAGCCATCGGCAAGATCTTTGTGGGCAGCAACGCCACAGGCACGGAGCTGCGGCACTGGTCTGACATGCTGGCCAACCCTCGGAGGCCCATTGCCCAGTGGCACTCTCTTAAGCCCGAGGAGGAAGTGGATGCACTCCTAGGCAAGAACAAGTAGGCCACAGCAGCTGGGGCCACACGCCCAGGACACTGACAAGATCCAGAGCTATCAATACCTCAGTTATGCGACTGTAGAGGTTTCTTCATTTGTTTGCAGTGTGTCCTGTTTTTCCTTCCTTTTTCTCTTTTTTAAAGACCAACTTCCTTTTGGTGGCTGAGTGAAGGGAGTCCCCTAAGAGGTGAAAGAAGCCTGGCTCTGTTTATTGTCCCAGGATCTGTCCTTGTTGCATGCCCTGTCATGGTTTTCCCTCACTCTCAAAGCGTCACATAGGTCTCGCCCCAAGTGAGGCCCTCTACTGGCAGAAAGTTGAAGCAGTTTGCTTTTCCTGGGTTTTGGACCAACAAAATGGCAGCACATTGTTTCTTGATTGTCAAGGCGTGTGCGTGTGCGTGTGTGTGTGTGTGTGTGTGTGTGTGTGTGTGT